TTAGGGTACTCGACTCGCAATCTGCGGGTCGCGGGTTCGAATCCCCGTCACACCAAACATGCTCGCCCTTAAATATTAATAATAAGGATAGAGACACTGCTATAATGGCCCGGCATGGCCAGGTGGTTAGGGTGCTCGACTCGTAATCCGCGGGTTCGAATCCCCCAACCCACCAAACATGCTCGCCCTTTCAGCCGTGGGGGCGTTATAATGTGACGGTAAATCCTACTATTCGTTGGTAAAAGAGTAGCCCAAGAGTTGGCGGTGGGTGGTGATGACTAGCTGGCTTCCCTCTAGTCTTACACTGCTAAATTAGGGACGGCTAGCGCAGATATCCCCCGTGTAGCTTTGCGCGAAATTCAAAAACAAACAAACAAACAAACACTGCTATAAAAATACACATTATTTACTCTAATAAAACGGAGCATTTCCGACTGGTATAAAAGTGCTTAAATGGATTATACATTTCTGCGATGCTTAGAAAATTTTGGAGGATGTAAATCTCGATTGTCGGGAGTTTGTTTAGTAGCTGTGCATAGATTTTTTCGCAGTATACCTAGCCGTTTTTGCTATAGGCTTCGGTGCTTGAATGGCTTTGAATAGAAACTTGACCAGTAGCGACGAAAAAGCTGATAAAATATCTCCTTCTAGAATCAACATAAAAATAGTCCCATGACCTGCGCAGGAGTTTCTTAAAATATTCACAGCCGTAGTCTTGTGAACAAAGAATATTATGAAGAACAAATGGATGAATTTTGTCTGACAATCGGAAAACCAACTTTATTAACTATATTTTAGTAGCCTTAGCCACTGAGACAGGTTTTGAGTGTTGTTTCAAGAACGAGTCTGCTTTTTGCCTGTATGTTGTATTAGAATTTTTGTGAAATTCCTGGGCGAACTCTATTATGAACCACTATCGTGGTTCATATGAAATAACTTTCTTTGCACTGCATTTCAAGTTAGTCATGGACTTATTCAGCTCAGTTATAATAAATCAAAATTCTTAGTCAGTTACTGTGACACCATTTTGTTTATTTACTTTCAATTTGTGGTATTACAAGCAACACTTCAACAGGAGTGTTTCTTGCATTCATTTTAAACCTAAAATTGTGATGTTTTGTTGGCAATTTTAAGTAAAACGAAAGACCGCAAGACTTATTTCTCAAATTGTAAATAAGTTTAGGTGTTTCAAAAACTCAATAAAACTTCCAAAGTGCTGTTTTGGCGTCCATGAAAAGTTTTCCCAAAGCAGAGCTACTTTTAATCAGGGCCATTCCACTTTTACCTTGATTTGCACTGGAAGAATGGTTTTAAGCATGATCATGACATCTAGGACAGTCTGGACATTTAATAGGAACAATAAATGTTCTTCAACTATTGTTTTATGCATTTCATTTGTTGAAGTCTAATCGATCATACCTGTCAATCACTACAACTAGGACAAAAAAAGTGGTTACATTAAAATTACAAATTATGCTATTCTTACAATTCCTTTTACTTCTGAATTTTCCTGTCCTCTTTTGATCAGATTCTAACGTTTTTGCATGATCTCTCGTTTCACCATTTTAACTTGAACCCCATCATGACTGCATCAACAAGTTTATTAAATACTGTGAAGACCACAACAGCTCTTCTTTCGACTCCCAATTTTAGGGCTAAAAGATTGAATATAATACGAATTTATTAAAGATATTTCATAGTGGTTATTATGCATTTAAGTTAAGTATCTTTCCTTATGTGTATGTACATAGAATATAAAATCTAGTGTAGCTCATGTAAAATAAAGGATTTACTCCCTGATCTAACGTTTCTTTGTACATATAAAAGGTTTGCTAAAAGTAGTTTCATTTTTAAAGGTTATCTTTATGTTGGTATAATGTATTTTGCAAAAAGGTTTACTTGACTTATCTTGAGGTTATATTGTGATGTAGTATTTATCTAACAGTTTCATGTTAGCTACAGTCCTTTGTCATGCCCGTAACATCCAATATACACCTACAACTTGTGATTGACCATCTACCGAGAACAAGAATTGTGAGAGTGTTTATGCCACTTTCACAGGGGGATCATCTTGACTTGGAAAGAGCTAGTAGAACAACATTTAAAATAATACCACTCAGGCTGATTAAGATGGCACTGTTTTAACTCTTATATGTGATAGCACAAATAAAAGATATTATAGTGAACATGGTACTTTTTTCATAAAAAAAAACACATATTTGTGTCCCTTTTTTGTACTGTTTGTTGCAGCATATGTGTTGGTGATAATTGTTTGTGTATCTTCTGGGTATCAGCTATATATTGGACATAAATTAATACACAACTATAAATATTATCATGTGCTTTATTTTTTAGTTCATTTTATTTTTACTTTGAAAAAATTACAGGGATGACTTCAGGATGCTTTTTTTCAAAGGAGTACATTAATTCATACCAAATAATAAACAATACTCTTGGTACATTTAAAAAGAAGAATGAACAGAATTAAAAGCACAGTAACAGAGTATTATGGTGTAGAAGGTCAATCATACTTCTATACAATATAAGACCTAATAAATATACTGTTAAGTTGTTGGTTTCTGTGTTAGAATACTCATGATACTGTTACCTTATAATGCATATATTTCTACAATCAACATATAGATTCAATAGAAGTAGCTTGAATGAAAAGTCAGTAACTGAACTGTGTAAATAAACATATTATGGGAACTAGTCTTTATTTATCTTTCCACAATTATTTCTTTAAATGTACAATACTCTTCTTCAAGCTATTTCTAAATACAAAGTAAGCAACTAGAAGAAAATCCTTCTTGACTAAAATCAAGTAGGGAGTGAAATTCTGAAATAAAATTACTGATTAAATAAATTTAGCAGTTAGAGGATATTAATCAAAAGTAAACTTACTATTATTTTTTAAGCACACCATCTTCTCACAGTATCATTTTGTTACAAATTAGTTTTAACTTTTGTAAGCATATACATTTTAACATTTATAATTCAAAATTGAGTACAGGCTCTGCTTTTTTTTCTGTCTAAAGTAAACCACTATTTTATTAAACAATAAACTTTTTGACAATTTTTACACTTGTTAATTATTTGATGCTAAATATAACAACATTTCAACTTACACAGTTTTAATCAGCAACTTTAATGTTATTCTAATATAGTGTAACCGTGACCTGTGATCATATAACTTGTAGTTTCACAGTGAAACTGCCGAACAAAAAATGATTCCTGTAAGTAAAGAAATTACTATGCTACATATACATATATATACTTCATATTAATATGTTACCACATTTCTAATTGTTTATTCTTAACATTCCAAATCGGAAGAACAGTTTGGTTAAGAATTGTACATAATTCTACAGTCAATAGGGAGAATGTTTTTGTAACAGTAATCATACTGATTTGAAATAATGAATTTGTCATTTTTTTCAATGTTAGTATTTTTTACTTGAAATTTATAAAAAATGCTTACAGTACAGTACTTTTTTTTATTCGCATTCCTTAGTTTGAAAACTAGTAATATTATATTAAATAAACTGTTGCACTGAAATAAAAAAGGCATTTTAAAGATAGTATTAAGTTTCAATTGTGATGTATAGTGTTCTGTCAAGGGAGTAGATATGAAAAGCTAAGAAAAACGTTTTTTCAACAAAACCATAAGACTAGTTGTCTGTAAGTTAAATGTAAGTTAGTAAAGTTTAATGCTTATATTCATAATAGTGTAGGTGTTTTACTAGCCAGCCTAAAAACAGTTCAACTATATTCTTAGAAGTTTAATATCTCAATTTGTGGTGTGTCTATTTCTGAAACAATCATAATTCAGTGAACCATATGTCAATATAAGAAACTAAACTTTAATATATAAATATTTAGAGTGTTTTTGTTTGTGGATTGAACTTAAATGCATGTTCCCTATAACTTCAAATAAGAAACGTTTTAGCCTAGAAAGTTGTATAGTTTTTTTCAGTGATTTCGGAATTCTGTTGAATTGAAACATTAAATGATTATCTAGGAATCATTTCCTGCTGTTAGAAGTAATGCAAAAAAATAAAATAAAAAATGTAATGTAATGAGCAAATTACTTCACACTTTAAAAAAATAAAATAAAAAAATAAACATTTTTCACAACCAGTGTCTAATGCAACAAAAGATAAAGTAAGAAAAACCTAAGCAAAGTTTTTACAACATATAGATGACCTTGATGCTGAAATATTTTAATTATGCATAATCTTAAATTCTGTAGAATTTGTTTAAATGTATAATTAATTAACAGCAAGTCCATAAAAAATGCACTAATGTTAAAGTAAATAATGGTTTAAAGTTCATAAAACATTTTGATTTGTAAAAGGTAACTTACACTGAATTATCCTATATCTTAAACTTTGAAAATCAACCCGTTTTTTTGGTGGTTTTTCTGGAGAATAGCAGTGATGTTTTGCACATCAAAATGTCTTTACTTTTGTTTCACAATATTCATATGAATGTATATACTGAGATTACCATTATTTTCTTATTCTAATTCATTAAGATATATATTTATGAGCACATACATGTCTACAGACATTTCTCATACAAAAGAGATTCACACACACAAGTCAATATATTAACAAAAATGTTTGAGTCTCTCAGATAAAATTCCCAATTCATAATAGAAAGGAAAACACTAATAGAAGATATAGTCTTGAGCTGACAGAAGGAAATACTTCTATTTTTGCCATAGTCCTAGGTCTCAAAGAAATCCCATTATCCATTTTTAATTCCTATTTATTGGATTTATCACCAGTGCTCATAATAATGTTTGCAAATCACTTGTTTTTTTTTCTTGCTTTCTATTTTGTCTTTTTCATATTCTATAGTGAGATTGTGAATTATATACTCATCAAATAATGTCCTTTTCCTTCTTCTCAAATAGGATGTGCCAAGTTTTGTCATTTATTGTGACCTTTCATTTCTAGTATCATGCATCTTCATTCATGTTTACTTGTCATTTCCTTCCTTCTCTAGTAATATGTGCCTCCTATTTTTGTCTATTTAAATCTTGTTTCATGAAAGATGTGCTTTTATTCTTCCCTAGAAAGTCATGAAGTCTATGTTTCAAATGTTGTGTTTATTTTGCCTTATCTAATGTTGTGCCATTTCTTATGCTTTCAAGTTGTCTCTCTCTTTCTCTAGTATATCTTCTTTGCTTGTCGGTTGTTGCATCATTTGTTGTCATCCCCATTTTCTCTGTTTCCTCTTCTTTTCTAGTACAATATACATTCTTTCCTTGTTCATAGTTGTTGGCCATTCTCTCGTTCGTCTACAAACATGTGCTTTCTCTTCTTACCTTATTATTTTCTTAATTAATTAAAATCAAGCTCTATTCTGATGTTTAGCATTTTTCTTTTATAATATTTTTTGTGCATCTGCACTGTTTGTAGTAACTGATGGTTATTTTTCATCTTTTGTATCATTACTGTTTACATTAAATACTGATCAACATCATCTTCATTCTGTAGCAGTCATTAACTGTAAATGCTGATTGCCTTAGCAACCATTGTTAACATTAACTTCTGGTTATTATAATATACTTTATCTATTACCACTGTTAACATTAACTGCAAATATTTGTAATCATCCTTGTCTGTTACCACCATTAAACATTAACTGTTGGTCATTATAATCATCCTTGTCCTTTACCACTGTCAACATTAACTGTTGGTCATTATAATCATCCTTGTCCTTTACCACTGTTAACATTAACTGTTGGTCTTTATAATCATCTTTGTCCTTTACCACTGTTAACAAAACTGTTGGTCATTATAATCATCCTTGTCATTTACCACTGTTAACATTAACTGTTGGTCATTGTAATCATCCTTGTCCTTTACGACTGTTAACATTAACTGTTGGTCTTTATAATCATCCTTGTCCTTTACCACTGTTAACAACAACTGTTGATCATTATAATTATACTTGTTTATCACCACTGTTAACATTAACTGCTAGTTATTATAGTCATCCTTGTCTACAATTATTGTTAATGTGAGTGCTGGCCATTATTAAATTTTCACTTGACATTTTCAACTGCTGTTTGGAAGTGGAATGTCACAAGTCAGTTTTATGGTTGAACAATAATCAAAGTTAATGAGTGTTAGGTGAAGGCCACCAAGTGATATTAAGTTAGTATGATGACATATTTTGTATTTTACTGAAATGCAGGGAAGATAACTCATACTCTGCACTGCTACAACATCATGAAGTCTAACAAAACTTCTGCTTCTCCTTCACCTTCTTTAAGCTGCACAAAATGACGTTTTTCTAAACCTTTCCTGTATGTTCCACATGTCAATCTACAATGAGAAATTCTCATTGAGAACCACTAGTTTGTATAATGATCAAAGGAACCAAGATACTCCAGGGCAGCACTGTAACAGAATCTGTACTGATCCTGAAAAGTATGAAAAAAATTTAACATTAATTAAAAATTTGCTCCACTGCGTAATGCTATATATCTAAATAAGAAAAGAAGATCTGTAATCTAGTGCTTCCAGAAGGAAGGCCTTTCTTCTGGGATAATGGGGACCCAATTCACCCCAAGGTAGAAAGTCCTACCTTCCAAAAGAGTTATTGAACTTTTTTTGTTATCCTAAATGATTGCATAATATCATTGATGTTGTATAAATGAACTTCTATTGTTTCAAAGACACATATATAATTAATGCACTTGAATAAGCTATTTCAAATCAAAATTATACCAGAATCTGTGCTCAGAGGAATCTAGAAAAGAAAATTAATTCAATCAAACAGGATTTTCATGCATTTTGTCAAGCCTAAAAAGAATCATTTCTTTAGCATTTTAAACCACTAAATTTAAATTTATTGTAATATATGTATATATATATATATATATATATATATATATA